TGGCTCACTGACAACCAGTTAAGTTGGCGCAATAGGGGAGTAACATGATCGTGCTTCCTGGAACCGGTGATGATCTTACAAGCAAAGTTTTGGATCAGTTGCAGTTTCTTTATATTAGTGGAGGATTTATTTGACCACACTGTCGAGCAATAGAACATTTTGCTGAATACCAGTGATAAAATAACAAGCATTAGTGTTTCCTTGTGGAAACTTTTTTTAACTCTGTTGATCTGGACTGGATTTGATAAACAAGAGGAGAAAAAGTAAGAAATGTGACTATCATAGGTCAGGTGCGAGTCAGTGATCACACACAAGCTTCTTGCTGAGTCCAACAGGGGTAAGGGACTTCCCTAGGAATGACACCGAGAAATCATTCGAATGTCTATTTATCAGCTGCTTTGTGAAAATCAGCATGAATGAATGAATGAAAAACTTTATTTAAGTTTCTATGTTTTTAGCTATAAGCTAATGGGGGACAATAAAAAATTTAAAAGTCAAATACATTTACATATGTAGATAATAGTTATTTACAATAGATAACTAAAAAGATTATAAAGTTATTTAGTTAAGTTTTAAATTTTAACGAGAGTTGAAAGGTCGACTTTTCTTATGTTCTTCTTGAACGAATTTAGAGTTTCTATCGTTCTTAGGTGTCTTGGTAACCTCGACCAGATGAGAGGTCCCATATATTTAATAGAATTCCTACTAAATCTTACAGTTTCGAATCTTGGCCGTTAGAAGTCACTGTTCCGTAAATTATACTGAGTGTTCTTTATATTAAATAAGTCAGAAATATTCTCGGGTAGGAGACTGTGCTTAACTTTAAACATCAAAGTGGCAATGTCTTGTAGGCGCCGATTGTTCAACGTAGGTAGTTTGGCGCGACCTAGCAGTTCTTGATAGGACGCTGATCTAGTTTTGTACACCGCCCTAAGTGCTCCCTCCTGAATCCGCTCAAGCTTTCTCCGTTCCGATGCATTACAAAAGTGCCATACTAGATGACAGTAGGTTAGATTGGGCAGAGTTGAAGACCTGTAAAGTGATAGTTTAGAATTACAGGGTATCAAATTGCGTAGCCGCACTAGGACCCCTACTTTTTGACTGGCCTTAGAGCATAGATCACTGATACGACTCGTAAAACTCAATTTTTCATCGATTTGAACCCCTAAAAGCCGTATTTCCCCCATTCTCTTAATAGTATAACCGTCAACAGAAAAATTTTGATTATCGTTGTCTTTTTCAACATCTCTTTAGTTGATCGTTAATAGCTGGAACTTTTCTGGGTTGGTTGAGAGATAGTTGTTCTTGTACTAGGATAGAGCTTTCTCTCCATGTATTTTGATACTTTGCGCGACAACGTCATGCTTCATCCCCATGACATACATCTGATGGTCGTCGGCATACATGCTCAAATTAGCATTATTTATATGGAATGACGTATCATTTTGGAAAAAAATTCTACAGAAGGGGGCCAAAAGACGAGCCTTCCGGGCAGCCAAGCACCATCCTTTTCCAGTCACTTGTCACTCCTTCTATTTTCGCTCTATTGAGCCTATTGTCAGAGTATGATCTAAAAAGGTTGAGAGAATTTTGTCCAATGCCGTAGGCCTCGAGTTTCTTTACGATTAGAGAATGTCTAAGAGAGTCAAAGGTTTTACTGAAGTCAGTAGACAGTATTTACACCAGTTCCTTTCTGTCAACAGCTGATTTCCAGTCTTCCACGAGTCTAAGCAGAGTGGTCTGACAGCTATGATGTCCTCTATACGCTGTCGTTCTCTGATAGAGAGTTTGATCATACTGCCCGGTGATTTGCTTACTGAGCATATGCTCAAATGTCTTCTTTACAGTAACAAGGGACGAGATGGGACGATAATTCCTCGCCAGTTGTCTGTCACCTTTTTTAAACACTGGCGTCCACTCTCCCATTTTCCACGCACAAGGCCATCACCCCAGCTCGATACAGCTCTTGTAGAGAGTCACTAGCGATGGGGCAATTCCACAGGCCACATTCTTAAGGAGTTTAGGCGGTGCTCCGGGGCCCCACCCACAGGACCCATTGGGGTGGATAGTTTCAAGCGCCTTTTGCACTTGATCCTTGCTGACACGACTGAACTCGAAGTACGTTCCTAGGTATGCTTCTCTTAGAGCTTTAACGCTGCCATGGTTGTCATGGTTCTCTTCTGTGATGCAAATAGCATTGTCTCCTACAATGCTAACAGCAGCTGTGATGAAATAGTTCACTAATTGCTCAGCTACCTCGCATTGATCTTTTACAATAATGCCCTCTTCTGTTTTTAAAATGATTAAGGTAGACTCCTTAGTTTTGCTATTAATAAATGGCCTAAAGGCGTTGTAAAGCTCACTTGGCTTGGATTTCAGCTCCTCTGATTTGGCGAACCAGTATTCCATGATAGCCTTCTTCCGTTCGCGTGTGGCAATATTCCTGTACTTTCTTTTAAGTTCCATGTTCTCTGGCGTTCGGTTCTTCGCAAACAGTATGGCATGTTTTCTCTTGTTCCTTATCGCCTTTTTCCAAGTTGAGGTCATGTAGGGTACGTCCTTTTTACGCACTCGTTTTCCTTTGATAGGGGCGTGTGCGTTCACTGTGCACTCAAAGAGGGCGGTCAAATACTCGTATAAGCATAAATTGTGTTTTACCGGGGTTTATTAGCAACCGGTTTTCGCAACACCATATAACGACTCCTGTTTGTTTTTTAATCGCTTGCTTGTTTCACTAGAGACATATGGCAGCCTCTGTCTCAAATACGTTTAAGTCTTTCTGTGGCACTTGGAGCTGGACAAATAATATTTCTCGCTGGTAGAAACGCCACGGAAAATAAGGTAAGTGACTTTTTCATTTATTCATGTTTTATTTGCCTTCCAAGGGCTTAAAAAATACTTTGTAAAAAAGAAAAAAAAAGATTTAAAACAGACATAAACTTTTTTTTCTCTCTAACAGGCTTCCTGTATCACAGCAGCAGCTTTTCTGCAGTATTTCCTGATGGCCGCCTTCTGTTGGATGTTCGTCGAGGGAATTTATTTCTACCTGTTCATTGTAAAAGTTTACAACATCAACACCAAGATGCACATGTATCACATCATATCATGGGGTATTTTTACCGAACTCGTTGCAAGTTATTTTAACTGTAATTTTCTAAATCGTCTCAAATTGAATGCGTGACTTGTTGAGCGGCACTGACTTCCTTCTACTTCTGTTTAGGTTTGCCAATCATCATGGTGGTTATTTCACTAAGCATAGCGTCTGGAAAAGATGGAATTCAGAGTTTTACAAGTGAAAAACAGTATGCGAAACATTAAATACTGCAGTTGTAGTTTCTTCCCCTTCTTTTTCCTCCATCTCTCTCATCTTATTAAAATAATCTGAATTTCACAAAATATTGCAGGCTTTAGGGCCTCTTCCCTTCTTTCTTTCCTTTATGTCTTATCATTTGAATTTGTCTTGTTGCCTTCTGTTTGATTTGTGCTACACTTTGAAGATGTTTTGATGCAGAGGGTTGCGGGGTTGGGAGAGCTAGCGGCTATTTGCTGAAAATTTATTTTCCTCTGCTATTTTTTTCTTAAACTCGTTACCAGTTGCTGGCTGTCCTCGACTAACAACCTGATCTGGATCTTCGTGACATTTGTGGCTTTCATTGAAGTTGTGAGTCTTTGATTAATTTATGCCTGGCCAGTATTGTTAATCTCTTGCCCGTTACAAAATGTTTACCATCTTTGCAACTCCACAGTATTTTCTTATGATACTCTCTTCCATGCTGACGTCGCAGAACGAATGAACACGTTTGAAATATTCCATTAACCATTAAGCTCACAAGAAAGTTCTCTGGTGCTCTGTGGTTGAGTTTCATCACGGATATCTGTGGTTTGATTCCTCTTGGCCTGTATAATAGCAAAGTAATACCCTGACGTAGCACAGGGTTCTTTAGTCCTAATCACAGAGCCACTAGAGCGTGCTGGCTATTTTTCCGATGGGAATTTCATTTTTTAAAGGGATGCAGACTTTTACTTTTTCAAACGTTCTTGACAAGGTGGATAACATTTTTCTGTTTTCGGTTATATATTTAACATTTCGTACTTCTTTCAGCTAAACATTTTGATAATCTTCCGAGTTATGAAGGAGATGAGCACATTAATCCAACCAACGGAGAGAGAAAACCGTATGCAGCATATACGGTGAGTTTTAAAATTTAACATCTATCTAATAGTTGTGATAAACTAAGCTTGGGGGGGGGGGGGAGTGGGGTAGATAATTAATAGTTTCTACCGAGACTTCTCGATTAATGTGAAGAAATAGTTGCCTCACCTAACTTCACAGTACTTGCCTAAATTCCAACCTAGGTATTCTTGGAGGATGGGGCATTATGACTTAAAAACGGTTAATGTTAGTGGTATTTTAACGTTCTTCAGACTTGGCATGAAAACATGTGCGGTGATGTTTCCACTGCTGGGTGTCACGTGGGTCTTTGGTCTTTTGTTACCCGTACACAAAGCTTTCGCCTACATTTTCGTAGTCTTGAACTCTACTCAGGTGAGCCATTAAAAATTGATAATGTTTAGTCATCCATTTAACATTTACTTAAATGATATGATCAGTTACTTTAACCTTGGTCAGATGATACTGCCTATTCAAAATTAATCTACCCAACACGAGACAATCTTATTAGTTCACGAGATATGAGACTTGCTTTAATTCATTCATTCACCATATTTGGTATGGTTGCTGAAAGGAATCTCAAAGGATCGAACCTCTCTTACCTCGGATTGTAAAAGGGTTAATTCTGAAATAATTGTCTGTTTTAGGGTATCCTGATTTTTGTACTTCATTGTGTGCGTAACAGCCAGGTAAGTTGAATACAATAATGAAGATGTACACAAAATGAATTGTGAAGTTTTTTGACATCAATAAAGATTTTTTGCGGTTAGAAACTGAAATTTTGTCGCTTTTTCATCTACAGATCAGAGAGAGCTTGAATAGAAAGATGAGCGTCATTTGTTCTCCTGCTGCAGATCATGGAAACTCTGTGAAGAAGGGCTCACGAGTTAATCCAGATGCTGTCAGCAATATGTGGGTAGTCAAAATGCATTCTTTCAAAGAATAGCATAATATAGTACTTCAGTAATTCAATTTGACCAACATCTAGTGATAGCGTTTTTCCACCTGCAAACAATGAAAAATCCCCAAGAAAAAGCTCACAGGTTGCTGCAAATAATGTTTGTGACGTGTGGGCAGTTGAATAGCAGTCTAAAAATAGTTTGAATCAAAAAAAAAAATAAACAAAGTAGCATAAATACCTTGTATAGACTGATAATAAGAGTTGATAGTTTAAAACGATCACTCAGACCACGGTAGTTGACCAGTAACAATTGCTCAGTTTCGACCTGTCGGTAAAGCTAGGTGGTTCCGATCATGTCGTCGGCTAAAAGAAGTCTGATATTTGAAGCAAGAAGTCTTGCCAATTCTCTTGCCTTCCAAGTATTAAAGTCTTCAATGCTTTTTTTGATCATTTAGCTAGGAGCTAGACCTACGGAACATTCTTTTTTTTCACATAGATATAGAAGGTTAGTGATTATAGGATCATCGTAAGCAATCAGGGAAAATATGTATTAGCTGCAAGCCAATGTATGTAACTAATTAAGAGGTTGGCTCTCGTTATATTTTAGATTTGAAAGCAGTCTGTCCTTCAGCGATGGGTTTGTGTTCTTTTAATGATTGCCCCCTTAAGGGATGCATGTGTTACATTCAAGCATCACTTGTTTAAGGTTAAGCCGCATTTCACTTTCCTTCCTTTACGCCCCTGTTTAGTAATATTTGATGAACACGTTATCTTGATCGACATTTTGGGTGCACTAGGTATTCAAACTTTCTTTTTTAGGAATTAGCATATATATACTAGTGTATTTCGTTTTCTCTCTCTGTTGTTGTAACCGTTTATTTGGATGTGATCGGAACAAAAAAGAGGCAGAAGCTTGTTTTAATCGTGCAAAAACTTTATGAACAACTACAATTAGTCAACTCAATTGAAAATATATTTAGTCTTAAAGGGAATATGGGTGATTGCTATGCAGTACAGCCTTGCATGAGTTAGGATAACATTGCATCTTGAGGTAATGCATGCTAAATTCATTGGAGTACCTTAAACATTTTTGTGTTGGTTTGCCATCACATAAAGATTTCTTAATCTCCTGCATGAGTTTATGCCCACAGAATAAGCAATGTTCACTGTCAGCTTCTTTATTCAAGCTACAATAGCACTAATGTTGGGGATCCTTACAAAAACGGGTAGGAATAAGAATGTAATGTGACTGATGATAGGCTAAAAGTGAGGGTCACTTGACTTGAACTTGAACTTGAACTTTATTTTTATTTAGACACTGTAAATCTATCAGATAAAATAATATTATTACAATCTATTATTACAATTACAATCTACTTTAATCTATGTTAACATGATCTAAAATTTAAAAGTGAAATAGAGAAAATAAAGAAATTCTGCTTTACATAGATGCCGTGTGTGTTTTGTCGATTCAGACGATGAAATTGCGACAACCATTTCGAAAAGATTGAGGTGATTTTGCTTGCCGCAATTCAGGGGACAAGCTATTCCAGATAACCGCACCGTTATAGCTAAAGCTATTTTTCAGGAAATTGGTGCGGGGCAATGGAACAGCTAGTTTGTTTTCAGAGTTCCTTAGATTATAAGGAGGATCATATTTAGTGAAAAGAGAACCAAGATAGTCGGGCGCAAGACCATGTATAGATTTATAGACCATGGTGGCCACTTGTATTTGTCGCTGAGTATCTAACCGTCTCCAGTTAAGTTGC